TAAATATAATAAAATTCTTCTCCGAAATTTAATTATTTTCAAAAATTTTAATGAAATTCTTGTCCAAATTTCAATTAATTTCAAAATTTTTCTTCAATTCAATAATTTTTAATATGTACTGTTTTAATAAAATTTTCCAAAAATTTTTTATAAGTTTCTTCGCAATAATTCAATTATTATTTTCATAAATAATCAAATGTTTACAGGGATTCAATTATTTTCGTAAATAGTAAAATTCTTTTTAGAAATTCAATTATTTTTATAAATAATAAAATTCATTGCAAAATTCCATTTATTTTTATTACAATTATAATCGAATTTCTCGAAAAATGTAATTATTCCTTAAAATTTTATTAAAATTCGTCCAAAGAATTCAATTATTTAATAATTTTGATAATAAAATACTTTAATAGAATTGAATTTTAAGAAACATTCAATTACTAAATAAATTATTTATGTTTAGACTTAAATAATTGAATTCTAGTAGAATTTTCTCATAAAAATTTATTTAAAAATAAATTTCAGTTAAAATTTTAAATTATAATTGAATATTAATAGAATTACAGTGCGAATTTTTAGAAATAATTGAATTTTGAAAAGGTTTCAAATTAAAATCTTTGAATATCTGAATTTTTCATATTTTTAACTAACAATTCTGTGGAATTAATGTTTTTTAAAAAAGTTTAATTTCGTTTTTTTCTTAAAATATGTAAAGTTTTTATTTTCAAATGTATGTTTAATTGTAGAATTTCCGAATAATTGAAATTTTGTCAAATTAAATTGTAAACAAATGAATTTGAAAATTCTCCAAGCACTTTTACAAAAATTATTAAAAATAATGGATTTATGAAAAATTTTAATTAAAAAAAAAATCAATTTTGGGGAAGTTACAAATTATTGCAGAAATTATTTTCAAAAATAATAAAATTCTTTTTAGGGATTCAATTATTTTCATAAATAATAAAACTCATTGCAGAATTTCAATTATTTTTAATACAATTTTAATTGAATTCCTCGAAAAATGTAATTATTTTTAAAAATTTTATTTAAATTCGTCCACAGAATTTAATTAGTACTTAAAAATTTGTTAAATAAGTTCTTTATGAGAATTGAATTTTAAGAAACATTTAAAAATTCAATAAATTATTTATTTTTGTATTTAAATAATTGATAATGGATTTATAGAAGAATTTTAGTTAAAAACAAGAAAAAAAAATTAATTTTGGAAAAGTTACACTTTATTGCAGAAATTCAATTATTTTCAAGAGTAATAGTATTCTACGCAAAAAATTAAATATTGTTCAAAAATAATAAAATTCTTCTTATGGTCAAAAGAATTTAATTATTAAAAAAATTATTAATAAAATTCTTTACATATAAGAACTCAATTTTAAGATACATTCTATTATGCAATAAATTATTTATTAATTTTGTTTTATTATAATTTAATTCTCGTAGAATTTTCTAAAAAAATTTGATTTAAAAATGAATTTTAATTATTTTTAATACAATTTTAATCGAATTTCTCGAATAATGTAATTATTCTTAAAAGTTTTATTAACATTCGTCGAAAGAATTCAATTATTTAAAAATTTGTTCTAAAAATTTTTTAGGAGAATTCAATGTTAAGAAACATTTAATTATATTTCATCAATTATTTATTTTTGTATTTAAAATTAAATAATTAAATTCTACTAGAATTTTCTAATAAAAATTGATTCAAAAATGAATTTCAGTTAAAATTTTAGATTATAATTGAATTTTAAAAGCATTAAAGCGTAAATTTTTAAAAATAATTGAATTTTGAAATTAATATTTTAGAAAAAGTTTAATTGAATTATTTTTATATTATTTGAAGTTTTTATTTTCTAATATAAGTATATTTAATTGAAGAATTTACTTATAATTAAAATTTCGTAAAATTGAATATTGTAAACAAATAGATTTGAAAATTGTTAAAGAACTTTTTCGAAAATGATTAAAAATAGATGATTTAAAGAAGAATTCAAGTTAAAAATTCTAGAAATTAATAATTGAATTGAATTTTCGAGCCCTGACTGATTAATTCTAATATTAGTAAATTCTAATTTAAAAAATTATAAATCCGTTTATAATAATCTATAGAATATTAAAAATCTAATATTCTAGGTATAATCTAGTAATCTAGAGTTTAAGTAGTGAAAGTCACTTTATAGTCAGACGAAAATACCACAAATTTTTATATAGCGCTTAAAAGTGTTTCTAAGATAAATTTCGATAGTATATAAAATTAGAAACATGAGGAAGCGATAATAATGAGAATTATAAGAATAAGTAACATAACAGACAAAAGGAACTATATTTGAATAACAAAGAAAAATTTGAATGTCAATAATATAAAGAATAAAATTCATATATCTATCTATTGGTGTATATCCATTTTAAAATCAATTGCGAACAATTTACACATTTATGTTGCAATAAAATTGTCATCTACACTGCATTAATACTGTCCGGAATTGAAATGCCTTTCCTCAAGAGAATCTATATACATAGTATAGCAATTTCCACTATAAATCGTTGACTATAAAATCCCTGATTTATGTAAAGTTATATTCACAATCCCTTTGGACAATGTAAAATCAGTGTGTTACGTACCTAGAAAATTTTTACCTCGTAAAATTTTTTTTATATATATATATATATATATATATATATATATATATATCTAAAATTTTTAGTCGCGTTTTGTACAACTATGATAAGAGTAACAAAAGTTTTAATATCAACATTCTATTTTTTATTATCCGCTCTTTAATGTCAACTTTTTGAAAATTTTACTTTATCAAAATTCACAACAATAAAGTGCAAAATTTACCGAGGCGGAATTTTTACAATAATTTTTTAATTTTGAAAAAAGAGAAGAATAAAGAATTCGATATATTTTCCAGCCGAATTGGAGCAAAGTTTGTTATATTTCATGTTTGAATGTTTTTTTTGGCACATATATTTTTAAAAAATTTAAATAAAAATATTAATTAAAAATGAATAAATTTAAATAAAAATATTTAAAAATTCCGATTTTATAGCGTAAAAAGTAAAAAAATGTCTTTTTCACCCCACTCACTCTAAATTTATAAATTTCCAAAGAAAATATATAAATGTTATAATTTCTAAATAAAAAATATATAACTAAATCAATAAAAATAAAATGTTTATTAAAATAAAAAATGCAAATGTTTTAGTTTCTAAAAAAATACATATATATAAATTTTTGAATAAAATATAAAAGTTTTAAATAAATTTTTTTCTTTTTTTTAAATAAATTCAAATACATAGGTAAATATACAAACATATAAATATATAAATATATAAATATATAAATATATAAATATATAAATATAAAAATATATAAATAATAATTATAATAAACTACTTTATTTTTCGATAAAACTTATGATTGATTCTCTTCTGCAAATATTTCTCGTCCCTACAGCCAAAAGCTTTTTGGTTTTGTCGGAGCTTTTCTTTAGAAATTCTCCCTGGTAAGAGTGTTTTTTTTTGAAAAGTCACAAAAGAATGAATAAAAAATATAAATTTCTGCTTTCTTGGAAATTTATTTTTTTCGCATTTTTTATGAAAATTAGAACCATTTTTCTTTTTATTTTCTCCACATACTTTTAGTGTCACTACATTTTATGTTATATATGACAAATAATGTTTTATACTCGCATAATACTAGGTACAACCTTACTTAATAATATATAACCATGTGCTTTTTATAAAATATTCAACTTCTTGATCGTTGTCGGAAAATTTATATATTTTTTCCCCGCACATTCCATTTTCTAGACGTATATTTACGTTTAATTTTACTTTTTGAAAAATATTTTTTCATACCCACATGAAAGTTTAAATTTTTTATTTATTTAGTATCAACGAAAGGACAACTACTTTTTTTTATTGCAAGCTCGTATATTGTTTAAATAAATAAGTAAATCAACGGGCTTTGAAAAACAAAAATTCTACAAAATAAAAATTTTAATTAAAAGAAAGGAAATTGAACTAGTAATAAATAATAATAGAACAATAATATAAAGAACGGGCTTAGAAAACCAAAACGCTACAAAATAAAAAAAATTAATTAAAAGAAAATAAATGAAACTTAGTAATAAATAATAATAAAATGATAATATAAAGAAATAAGAAATATTAATAATAAATAATAAAAATAGTGATAAATAATTAATATAATAAACAATAGGTACCTAATATTTATTTATTTACTTCTTTATTTACTTATTTAATTAGTATTAACGGTTTTACAAAGAAAGACGCCATCTATTTATATTAATATTATTAATAAAGCCCTCTATAATATTTATGTTAATAATATAAATATTAATAATAACAAAAATAATAAGACTAATAAAAAATAACAGAAAAACAATATAAAGAAAAACCAAACTAATAATAAATAATAGAACAGTAATATAAATAAATAACTAAGGAATTTTTAATTTAAACTGTGAATTATATATACAACAATAAGTAATAAATAAAAGAAAATAATAAATTTATTTAATTATAAAATAAAATTAAAAGAAAATCAATTTTACTTTTTTTTATTAATGTAAATAAAAAATATTGTTGCAAATAAAAGTAACCGTTAGAAAAATTGTTTCTAGGACAAAAGTGTCGTATATATTTTATAAAATGGAATTTCTCTTTTTTTTTTTTTTTTTTTTTTTTGTTGTCAATATATTTGTGTGGAAAAAACAAGAAATGTTTGTAATGTCAAATGAATAAATAAAAATATAAATTCAACGCTCGCACACACCGAGAGAGAGAAAGATTGAATAGGGGTTTGTTAGTTTGCAAAACAGAGTCAACGACGTCGAGTTGTGCAATGCAAATTAAGCTGTAGAAATGCTAATTAAGTTGGATGAAAAATAAAAATATAGGGAAAAAAAATTTTTTTTTTTTCCTTTCTTTCTTTTTATTTTTTATTTTGCACATACCTTCGCATTTGAGGAAGCACCAATTGTGATGTGGTTTTGCAAGCTTCGACACAATTTCTTCGTAATTTTCGAATTCTTTCGCGAAGCTCGGGACAATCTCGCGATTGACCGATGCTTATCAAAAGATCGCGGAACTGCGCCACTTGGCTGTTTATGTCGTGAATATGCTGAAAAAAACGAAAGAGAAATTTTAATTAGCATTAATGTATTTAAAATTATTATTATTATTATTATTTTTATTTTATATAATTAAATTCTTTTTAATCGACAAAAGCGAAATTTTTATGCCTTAAAGTCGATTCGAGGCCTGTTTTTGGCTAAGAAGACGATTTTTTATTATTTTACATTACAAATTAAAAAATTTTTATTTTCAAATATCAACTTTAATTTTAGACTAAATTCAAATTCAAAATCAAAAAACATTTACCGACTAACTAATTAACTAATTAATATTATTACTATTTATAAATAAAATTCATCCAAAATTCAAATATTTTTATAAATAATAAAATTTTCCCAAGAATTCAATTAATTTAAAATAACAATTTCTAAAAAATTTAGAAAAAATGAATTAATTTACAAAATTTTTATACAATTCTTCACAATAATTCAATTACTTTCACTAATATTAACATTTTTCATGAAAATTCAATTTTTTAAAAAAATTTTTGATAAAATTCTAAGCAAGAATTCAATTACTTTTATAAATAATAAAACTTATCGAAGAATTTTAATTATTTTTAATACTATTTTACATTAATTAATTAAAACATTCAATTATTTTTACAAATAAAGTTTTACACAAGAATTCCGTTTTTTTAAAATAAAATTTTATAATATTTATTATATTATGAAAACATTCATTATTTAAAACAATGTTTATAAAATTCTTATGAAGAATTAAATTATTTTCAAAAATAACAAATTTTTTCACAGAACTTCAATTCTTTTTAAACATTTTAATTTTTAATGAAATTTTTCGCAATAATTCAATTATTTACATAAATAATAAAATTTTTTGGAAGAATTCAAATATTTTAATAATTTTTAATCAAATATTTTAATTTTTAAAATAATTGAATTTAAAATAATTCATTTCTTTCGAACAATTTTATTAAAATATTTGAATTCTTCCAAAGAATTTTATTATTTATTATAAAAATAATATTTGAATTATTGCGAAAAATTTTATTAAAATGTTTAAAAAAGAATTGAATTTCTGTGAAAAAGTTTGTTATTTTTCAAAATAATTGAATTCTTCATAAGAATTTTATAAACATTGTTTTAAATTTAAATAATTAATTTTTTCATAATATAATAAATATTATGAAAATTTTATTAAAAAAAAATTGAATTCTTGTGGAAAACTTTATTTGTGAAAATAATTAAAATTTTCATAAGTAACAATATTCATCACAAAAATTCAATTATTACCTAATAAAAGTAATCAATTTTTTCTTGGTAGGTAATTCAATTATTTAAAAAAATTCTAATAAAATCGTTTGCAAGAATTCCATTATTTTTACAAATAATAAAATTCTTTTTAATACCTAATTCAATTATTTAAAAAAAAAATGTAATAAAATGCCACACAGACATTCAATTATTCTCAAAAATTTTAATAGAATTCTTTGTAAAATTTAATTATTTTAAAAAACTTTTCGCAATTCAATGATTTTCAATATCTACTTTTTTTAATAAAAATTCCAAACAGAAATCAATTATTTAAAACATTTTTTGTAAAAATCTTCGTAATATTTCAATTTTTTTCATGAATAATAAAAATCCTCGCAGGAATTCAATTATTTTCAAAAATTTCTTTTATGTTAACAATAAATTAAAATTATATCAAAAATAATAGTTGGTAGAAGAATAAATTTTACATAAAAATTAATTCTATTGTTACCAATTAAAAAAAAATGCTATTTGACAATTTTTCTAGTAGAAAAATGAAAAAATAAAAATTGAGAAAAAGAAAATATTTTTTTTAGTAAATACATATTTGTTATGTAAACAATGCGGTGATCTTAATTAAAAATAGTGTTAATAATATCTATGTGATGTAAGCGTTATATAATCAATTCACCCCTTTGCGAATATTTATGTCACCATTATAAGCTTGTAAGCGAACAATGTGCTTCCGCCAGAAAGTGAAATCGGTCTGTTTGAGTTGACAAAGCAAATAATTGAACTAAATTTCTTCATCCCTCTCTTACATATTATTTTATACTTTGTGTAAAAGTAATGAAAAGAATTATGCAGAAAAAAAATTCGATTATCAATAAAATATTACCTGACTTGAATTCTTAGAAAAAAAAATGAAGATAATTATGATCAAATAAAGCAGATAATTATGATAATTAATACAAAGATTAATATGATAAATAAAGAAAATAATTATCAACAAAAAAAAAAAAATCATTTTCAAAAAAAGAAAAAAAAGATTAACTTTTTTTAATTTAGAAAAAAAGGAATTTTACGTAAGAAAATATTACCTAACAAAAACTTGATATGATAAAATGTGGAAAATGACATAAAAAAGATATTACACAGTATTTGACATTCTAATGTTACTATTATAAAAAGAAAATACAATCCTTTTTTTTGTAGTTATCTCTTTTATATGTTCTTTAAAGGAAATATTAAACTTCTCGAAAATTGTGAAATAAGACACGTGAGAGAGAAAATTATTTAAAAAATAAAATACAATTTGTAATTTAAATTGAATTGAAAGTTTTTTAATGCTGGTAAATTAATTTTATTTAAAGAATTATTAAAATAAAATAAAAATTATTAAATGATTAAAATAAAAATAGGGAAAATTAAAGTATGCTTGTACATACTTTTAATTTTAACTTCTCTTTTGCTTTTAATTTTAATTCGTTTATATTTTAATTTTCAATTTTTTTTCTACTTTAAATTTTAATTCTTTTAGTATTTTTAATTTTAATTCTTTTAGTATTTTTAATTTCAACTTCTTTTCCTCTTTTAATTCCAATTTTTTTTTATATTAAAATAATATTTATAAAATATTATAAACTTTTCTTTTATAATTTTTAATTTTTTTTCCACTTTTAATTTTAATTCTTTTTGCACTTATAATTTTAATTCTTTTATATTTTTAATTTTAACTTCTGTGCTACTCATAATTTTAATTTTCTTGAAATTTCATTTCTGCTAATAATTTTAATTTCTTTATATTTTTATTTTTTTCTACTCATCTAATTTTAATTCTTTAATATTTTTAATTTTAATTTCCACTCGACCTTTAATTTTCTACTTTTAAAAAATTTTTAATCTTAATTAAACTTTACTTTCAGTGTATAGTTTTTGTTATAAAATTATAAAACTAAACAAAGGGAAAGAATGAAAACTAAATTAATTTATGTAATTAGTACAAAAAAATGTAGAATACAACAGAAATTTATTAATATTTTCAAAATATGCAGAATATAATATTTAATGGAGAAATCTCCCTTTTTTTCTGAAGTAATTCATTAATGATAATGTAACTTGCTAACTTTTATCTTGTTAAATAGAGTAATATAATTTTGTTTGGGAAAATCCCTTTCAACGTATAGCATAAATGTGTGTTAGTTACCATTAACATAAACTTCACAAGAATTCGCTAATGCTCATGCATACTTTATAAGCCGGATAATTCTCGTTAAATATACAAACTTCTTAAGAAGATGTTCAAAAATTAAAAAATAATGTTTTCTTTTGTTCACTCAAAAAATTATCAACTAAACGAAAAAGGAGAAAATTATGATTATTCCTTTTTATTATGGCAATTAGAATTGGGAAATAAATTGCAGTAATTATTATGATTGTTAATCCTTGTAATTATTTAAATAATATTCCGTAAATGTAACTTCTATTAATTTATTAGTCAAAATGTTTATTAATTTGAATTATTATTAATATGAAAAGATATTGAGTCATTTTTTTAAATTCAGAAATCAATTATTAATAGAAAAAAGATATTGAGTCATTTTTTTAAATTCAAAAATCAATTATTAATAGAAAAAAAATATTGAGGCAATTTTTTAATTCAGAAATCGATTATTAATAGAAAAAAGATATTGAGGCAATTTTTTAATTCATAAATCAATTATTAATAGAAAAAAGATATTGAGGCAACTTTTGAATTCGGAAATCAATATAAAATGATAATAAAATTACAATAAACTATCGAAACGTTAAATGCAGATATGTTGATGTAATCTCTTTGCTTCGCTTTTGACCTAATTAAAATCGTTTTCTCGCAGCCCCCATGGCGAAGGAAACATAAAACTTTCAGTTCACATTGAAGACGAGAGAATCACTTTCTTGCCTTTCAATTATTTCGATCTCATTTTCATCGTCAAATGTTAATTTATTATTCACACACTCTTTTTTATCGAATAATAATTACTTATCAATTTTGTAAAATTATCCATTTTTCAAATAGAATTTAATCGAAAAAAAAAGAAAATCGAATTCAAAAGATGGAAATTTTTATTTGAAATTAATATTTTTATTATAAAATTATAAATAACAATAAAAATATACAGAAAGAAAGAATATATATGAAATAAAAAGCAGATTAATTATGAAGAGAAAATGTGATAAATAAATAATAAGTAAAGTAGCATTTTCGCTTTGAAAAATTTATAAATTTCTAAAGTTATCCTTTTGACCTTTCGTGATTTTCAACATTGAAATAATTTTTATGCAAAAAAATTTTTAATTTTCATTCTTTTCGAATTATTATTTTTTACCCTAACTTTTTTTATTTAGTATATTAATTATATAGTAATAAATTTACGACTCAAAAAATTTAATTAAAAAAATATAAATGAAATCTTCAAAATTTCATTGATAGGTTAATTTTTTAGCAGAAAATGTTTTTTTTTAATAAAATAAATAATAAAATTATTTATAAATAACTTTATTATAATAAAGTCAATAATAATACGTGAAAATTAAAAAAATGATTTTTCAATATTCTGAGAGTTGAAAAAATTAATAAATGTTTTCAATTGGTAAAATTTATTTCTCAAACTGGGAGAAAAAAATGACATAAAAAAAAGGTACAATTTTGTGCCTCAAGATTGCTATCATCTCTCATGGTCTTGGGGTTTTAAACGATTCGGGGTACAAGAACGGCACAGGTGCGATAGAA